GCCTGCCGCCGGGCGGCCCCGCACCTGCGCGCCCCCCGCGCCCCCGGGTGACGACGGCGCGATGCTGTGCTTCTTGAAGGGCATGGCCTTCGTCCCCTTCCTCCTGGTCACCTGGTCGTCCGCCGCCTTCATCATCTCCTACGTGGTCGCCGTGCTGTGGAGGCATGTCAACCCCTTCCTTCCCTATATCAGGTAAGGGGCGGGGTGGGCGGCAGCGGCCCAAGGACCAGGCAGAGGGTCCAGACGCAGCTGAGGGCGCTCTGGGGGAAGACGGAGGGTCTGGCAAGGAGTTGGACGGGTTGCTGGGGAGACCCTAGATGTGCTGAGAAGATGGGGGTGCCCAGATGAGCAAGCACCAAGCCCTCCTCCGGACGCTGGTCATTACCACGAACGCTGGATCCGGTGACACTAGGACTGGGCGTGTGGCAGAATCTCGGAGAAACACTTTGGCGATATTGAAACGAGTCACTCCTCAAGCCATACCAAACTCAACTCATTCTGACCCAAAGCAACCCTATTGGAAAGGGTCAGGCTGTCCCAGGCGGTTTCTTAGGCTGTACATCTTCACAGAAACACATTGCCTCCCCTTTCTTCTGGAGGGGTGACCGGCGGGTCCCAGCTTTGACCTTTCGGTCAGCAACCCAAACGCATAAGTCCATTTCAGTAAGCGATACCTTGAAACAGTGCACTCCGCGGTTCATGTATTTCAAGTCTCTTCCCAACATGTCTGTGCACTCCCTCAAACACAGCCATCGAGTCAGTTCCCACTCACAGAGACTCTACAAGACAGAGAACTGCCCCCGTGGCTTTCACAGACTGCAACTGTAATGGAGCGGACAGCCTCCTTTTTCTGCTCCCAGTGGTGGTTTCGAACTGCTGACCCTGTGGTTCGCAGCCCAACTTGTAACCCCCTACACTGCCAGGACTCATCAAAATGTCCACATAGTGGATATTTGACCAATTTTTTCAAGCAAGGAAACATTTAAAACGTGACAAAATACCATCAATGTGATGCTGATGTTGCAACTAATAAACGATGCGTTAACAATGGACTCCTATTAAGGGAACTCATCTCTTTCTGTCCCTCAAAATAGGGAACATGATGCTTCATCCAGGTCCTTGGGAATGTGGTTGAGGCTTTTACTGAGTGGAGCTGCCCAAGTTCCCCTTTGGTACTGCATGCCCCAGTCAGAGGCCTCAAATTATCAACCACGGGTGACATTTCATTTTGCAGTTTCACTTCTTGTTTTCCTGAGGGTCACATCTTCCATGACAGTGTCCCGATCCTCTTTCTAGGTACATTCCTTAAATACTAGAAGGATGACTCCTTATCAAAGTTGAGTTGATTCTGCCTTAGGCCCATACCTTGTGTGTGAGAGTAGAAGTCTTATCTATGTGAACTGAAACTACTGCGTCTGTAATGGTTGGTGGGGGAAAGGTGACACCTAAGGAGATGGATTGAACCTGTGGCTACAACTGTGGCCTCAAGCATAGGAACAGTTATGGGGATGGCACAGAACCAGGGAGTGTTTCGTTCCATGGGCAGGGTTCCTGTGGGTTGGAACTGACTCGATGGCACCTAACAACAGTACCAAAGATTTGTAGTTTTGGAAATGCAAAGGGGCAGTTCTACCCTGCCTTATTGGGGCTCAATGAGTGGGAATAAATTCGGTGGTAGTGAGTTGGTTTTGAGTCCCCCCGCCCCGGAGAAATGTGAACTTGGTTTCTCATTGGCACATCTAAGTTCTGTGTTAGCGCTAAAATCATAAAACCCTTGGTTGGTGGATGGCCCCTGCTTACAGTGTGAACTTGAACTCCATTTAGGGTCTTGACCTAAATTTAACCTCCATTGACCTCATTCTAACCCTAACAAATTTAGCCCTGAGGCCAAGTGTTTTTGAAATAAGATTACTACTCTCTTAAGGAGCCTATTGGGTTATGAATTGGGCTGCTAACCACAAGGTCAGCAGTTGGAATCTTCCAGCTGCACCTTGGGAGTAAGATGAGGCTCTCTGCTGCTGTGAAGATTTACAGTCTCTGAAATCCCAAGGGGCAGTTCTGACCTATCCTAGGAGGACACTATGGGTAGGCATGGACTCAATGGCAAGGGGCTTTGTTGGTGTTGTTTGGTACTTCAGAAAGAAGATTGGGGCTCTTCCCCTGCACTCTCTTGGCTCCTCCCTTGACCTCTCCTATGCTCCCTCTCCTCCCCTGTTTCCCTTTCCACTTGTCCTCCTTCCCTTGCCCCTCTCTCCATGTGGACCATCAAGCGGGCCTCAGGTGAGCAATGCTACCGTGAAATGTGTCTGACTCCATTATTTGACTCTACCTCTCATGCTCTCAATGACTTTAATATAATACTTATATATCTCAAAAAAAAAAAAAGATTGGGTTGCTAGAGTCTCATGAGCATATGTAATGTCCTGACCAGCAGGTAGCCGGTGGTTTAAGGGCCCCAGAACCAAACCTGTTCATTTTTCTAAACTGTAATTGTGTATGCATCTCAATCACTGACCTTTCTTTGCTTCTGTAGTGAATTGATCAGCCACCAATAACCATTAATTAGACACATGGCCACCATGAATCCCTTGGGCATCATTATGATCTCATGCTGTTGGTCTCCCTCATTCAGATTCAGATTATTTATCTTTTGTTCTGTTTAAGGTTTAATAGGTGGGCCACTATATACATAGAGATGGGAAAATATACATGACGTAAGACTCCGGTGACTCCTCCAATCATAGACCAGGAATGAGAATACCCTTGCTCTCATGCATTGGAAAGTGGATTACTGCAGATGCAGCAAGGTTACAATGTAACGCCTTATCATTTGATCTCTTTTGACCAACTTTTAATTTGTTCTAGTCTTTAATATCTTCTGCTTTCCTTTCAATTGAGGTTTCCCACTGTTGTTACTGTTATTGGCTTTATTTATTTATTTTACGTTTTTCAGTACTGTATATGAAATCCAGGATGGGCAGATCTACAGAAACAGCAACTGGATTAATGGTTTCTTGGGAGTATGGCAGGGGAGGTTGAGGGGAGTTGGGAAGCTTAGTGCGCACAAGAAAGAAGAAAATTGTACTGGTGATTGAACAATTCCTTAATATGATTGAACTATTGAATTGTATGATGTGTAAATTATATACCAATAAAACTGTTAACAAATAACAATGGGCCACTATAACATATACTGAAACTTAAGGGTCTTTCTCCCCTAGAACAGTGCCAAGTGACAAGTCTTGCTTCTCCTCTTTCTAAAAGAGGGTAGGTAAACTTTATTATTGCTTCGTTGTTAGATGCTCTCAAGTCTGTTCCATCTCACACTACCTTATGTACAAAAGAACAAAACATTACCCAACCTCACAGCTGTTCATGTTTGAACCCCCTGTTACAGCCATTGTGCCAGCCCATTTAGTCTAGAGCCACTAACCCTTCACTAGTGGACAGTATGGGCTGGGAATTGACCTCGGGTCTCCGGAATGGCAGGGAAGAGTTCTACCACGGACCCACCAATGCACTGCTTAAATGCTTGACTGCTAACCACCAGGTCAGTGTTTCAAACCTACTAGTTGCTTTACAGGAGAAAGCCGAAGCTATCTGTTTCCATAGATTTACAGCCTAGAAAATCCTACATAGGGTTGCTAAGAGTAAGGTGACCAGACGTCCTACTTTTGGCGAGACAGTCCTGATTTTTAACAATTTTCCCCAGGTCCTGCGGCGTTTTAAAAAAGTCCTGATTTTTGGAAAGAATGTACGACAAGCTAGGGTATATGGTTTTTGGCTGCCATGTGGCTATTTTGCCAGGATATGAGTTTTATCAATGGTGTCCCGCTTTACCAATGTTAAAATCTGCTCACCTTACTAAGAGTCAACTGAACGGCCGTGGGATTTCTGCATTCTCAAGCATGATGTCCATTTCCGGGGACTAGGCTCTTACAACATGTGCAAAGTATGTGCAAAGAGCTGCTCTCTACAGCACTTCTTATTGAGAAATTAGTAGTTGAAGGTCCCGGTAAAGCTATTTGGTCCTCATTGACCAAACTCTCAGAGGTAGGGTTGGGACTTTGTAAGGGTCTGATGCATTTGTGGTTCACTTCACTGCCAAATAAGCTTGAAATGGAAGGCAATCAGAAATGGGGAAATGAATTAGCACACTTCTTGGGAAAGACTCAACTTAAAAATACTGCAAGGAAGGGCAAAATTCAGATGTAGTGTGGTAAGGAAGTCTTCAGGAATAGCAGAGTTACATGAGAAAAAAGCATGAGGTTGGCTACTTGTCAGGAGCCCAAAATAACCACATGATTGAGAGTGGGACTTTTGGGTTATTTGCTTTCTGGGTAGCAGAGCCCTGATGGTGTGGTGGACTATGATCCACATAGTTGGCAGCTTGAAACCCCTGTTTGGCAGGAGAAAGATGGGACTTTCTACGTCTGTAAACAGTACAGTCTCAAATCCACAGGGGTAGTTCTAGCCTATCCTATAAGGTCACACGGAGTTAGAATTGAATTGATGGCAGTGAGAACCACTATACAAGTGTGATTTACTTATTTGGTCCATTAGTTGTCTTCTGAAACTGGAATGTAAGATCCATGAAGGCTCTCACATATTTGTTGAATGAAAATTTCTTGAGCACTCACCAACCAAGTGGCCGAGGAGTTAGCCCTGACTCGTAGCAGCCCTGCATCTGTCAGAGTAGACCTGTGTTCCTAGGGAGTTGTCTCTAGTGGATCTTTCGGAAGTAGATTGTCAAGGCCTTCAAAGTTCTGGGTTGACTCGAACTTCCAACCTTGGGCTCAGTTAACAGCACGCACTGTGGCTATTGTTATCCTGGTGTCAGATCTTTGCCCCAACGTAGGGCAGACCCCTCTAGAGAAATCCTGATAATATTTCCCTTTGGTGTTTAAGGAGATTTGGTGGTACCATTGGCGTAATAATTTGAGTTGCCAACTGTCAGACAGCAGAGGTTCAAACCCACTAGCCATTCTCCTTAGAAGACCAATAAGGCTCTTTGCTCCTTTAAGGAATTTCAGTCTCCTGACACCTAGTGGGGCAGTCCTCCTCTGTCCTAGAGGGCCACTCTGAATCAGAATGGAGTCTGAGGCTGTAGGCTTTTATGTTTTTAATTTGAGGGTGTACTTCCATAGGTCATTGTTTCCCTTTAGACCTGTCTATTGAGCCGTGGAGGTGAG